AATAAATAAATAAAAATATTAAATGAATATAATATTATTAATACGATTCACTCTAACACAAAATATGAATTCGAAAAAATATATTTTAATTATCTTAATATATTATTTTTAATTCAATTTTATATAATTTTATTTAATATAATTAAATTATTTTTTTAGATTTAATTTGATTTCTCCATACGTAATGTAATGTGTATATATATAAAGGGTTATCACATTTAACAACTAAGTTGGACTGGTGTGGTGGTAGCTAAGGCTACCCTTCAACCCCTTCAACCCAGGATCGAATCTCAGAGCGTGCAACATAATTTTTTTTTTTAAATTGACACATGGGTCGCCATGTCAGCCCAAAAATGCCACGTCATTGACACGTGGAAACACCACGTCATCACAAAAATGCCATATCAGCAGAACGGGCCTCCACGTCACCAGAACAGGCCCAAAATTGGGCCCTGTGATTCGAATTGCAAAAAATAACTAAAGTGGTGTATTAAATTGCTAAATTGCAAAGGTGGTGATTAAATTGCAAAAACATGAAAGGTGGTGCTTTTATATGCAATTTAGCCTCCATAAATATTATTTAGCTAACTTAGGTATTTTAATATCACTTTTACTAATACAACCCTTTAATTCTTTGTAATTTTAGATAGTGAGGCACTAAGTGACTAATATATCCCTAAATTTTGATTTGCTTCCTTCAATAAGTTATTGATTTATAAATGTATTTTAAAAGTTGATAACTTTTGTATTTCTTATCGATTTTACATGTATAATATATCAAATTAATCATCTTTTGATGATCTTCGATTTGACATCCATATTGTATATATAAAATAAATAAATTATATTTATCTTTATAATAATAAAAAATAATAATATTATTAAAATTCATTATAAAAATGAAATTATTTTTCAATTGATATATTTATATTTAATGTAGTTATATATTATAAGTTCAAAAATTTGTATAAAGAGCTACTTGCATAAATTTTTAAATACAAAACAAACAAAAAAAATAATTTTGAATGAACAATAAATCGGTTTTATAATGAACCAACAAAACATAATAAATATATATAACTAAATTATTAATCAATGTGGAAATTTTATTAATCAACAAAACATATAATAATAGAACATAATAAAACATAATGTTTTAGGAGAACTAATAAACAAATGAACTAAGCAATATTTCCAAAAATAAAAAGTATCATAATAAATATATAATAATATATATATTCTTATAAAAGGTATTTAATTTTCTAACTACTTTTTCTCAATAATTTTAAATTTTAAGAAAAAAATTAGCAAACACCCGTATAATACACGGGCGTTGTACTAGTTACAAATAATTAAAGGATTATATTAGTACAAGTGATATTAAAATACCTAAGTTAGATAAATAATATTTATGGAATGTCCAAACCTAAATTATTAATTATTAATGTATCAATATTATTATCCAAACCTAATTACAAAGCATGATTTTTTGCCAAGTAGGATTCCGAAGCACCAGAAACAGCCACGTAGGCTCAGCGCATTCGGGAATTATATATAGGGAGGATTGTATTTTGAAATTTAGTTATTAGTAAAAATAAACAACATAAAACTTATTTAACTATCGATGAACCACTAGACCTTTTGTTGTGATTGTGACTGTTGAGAAAAATAACATCATACATACTAAATGCTACAAGCAAGCATTGATTATGTGATTATGTGACCAAACCCGTAGTGATGTAGCGAATCTTCGAACGAAAGGGACAAGAGAGAACAAATCTCAAAATTATCGTTTTTATTATTCTTCCAAAGCTGCGGCTAATGACAAGAGCAGATAAATAAATAGAGTTCCTAGCAGTCCAAACACCTAACTTGCTAGGCAAGTAAATTCCTAAAAATATAATTAATATCCTACTAACTTAATAAAATAAATAAGGAACAATAATAAAACACTCATGCAATTAATTAAATTAAACTAGAGCTGGCATTCGATCGTATTTGTCCATAAACGCCATCGCGATCTCGTCTCCACCATCCTCCCCCGGTTGAGAAGAATTCGCCCTCGAATCCGGATCGATCTCGTCTCCGTCCGAGGTGTCACCATCCGCCATGGCAGAGACTTGAATTCTAGAACCAACAAAATTAGTCACAGTACTCCCACGAGGACCAGAATATGAATCTTTCTTGTTGTCAACACCAACAAAAATTTCATTGGAAATGTCACCCCCACAAAGCTTAGCAGCACCAGGATGTTTTAAATTTGCACCCCACAATGCCCAACAATGCCCTGCAAGCTATTAACAGCAAGAATCCTACCAGCAAAGATGTAGCAGGAGTTGTAGCAGTGCCACCAAACACATGAGTCGCCACCCCGTCTCGTGTTTCCATAATGCAGGCATCCTCCACACGCATAGGAACCCCGAGATCTCTCGAAAAACGAACCTGTTGATTGCGATCACCTCCGAATACGTGTTCTTCGGGCGGTTCGGGCTCCTTGTCAAAAATAGGAGGGCCATCATACAAGTCTCCCTCGCGAAACTCGCCATCCGTCCCGGCCATAAGGGCACGCGAACCGCCCCGCCGTGGACACGCCGATTGCCGATGGCCCGCCTCACCACAAGCAAAACATCTCAGCCCTCCGCCCGGCTGGTTCCTAGCTGCCACAGTCGGTGCAACGTAGCCAGTCGCCGCCGAAGACGAGCCCGCTGTTGCCGGATTTCCAAGGCCCCCTACAGCTCCTGGTGAACTCTCCGTGGCTGGAAAAACACCCTGTGATGGTGTGCCGTCGCGACCGAACTGGATTCCTTCAACCGCCGCGGACCGTGATGAACCAGCCGCGGAGGGCGCCAGCAGAGCCAAATGCGGGTGAAATCGATCGCTGGCACTGGTCGACCGCGTTGTTGCTGCTCGATGAGTAATGCCCGATGGTGAGCGGCTGCAACACTGTCTGGTGCGAACATTTTCAGCATGTCGCGAATGCCGAGCATCAATCCACCAACATAACGCAACACCAACTGAGCCTGAGTGTCCCGTATTTTAACTCGATTGAGAAGACGATAAAAATCACGGGTATACTCGTCGACGGACCGAACACCCTGACGTAATTTGTGAAGTTGTTGATACATAGTACTCACATAATTGAAGACAAGGAATTCACGCTCAATGTGTTTCCGAAATTTGGCCCATGACACGATCTTAGGCTTACCCATCTGTCGGCCGGACTCCGTGATGTGTAGCCACCACGCGATGGCACTCCCGCGCAAGCGCGTGGCGACGAGTCCCACACGATGATTGTCCGGGACCTCCTTGTAAGCCAACACCACCTCGACCGAGCCTAGCCAGTCGAGAAAATCAGCCCCATCGAGGCCACCAGTAAATTCTGGAATATCCACGCGAAAGGCGGACTCCCAACGCCACTCACCGGCCGCCGCCTCCTCGTTCCGCTGCTCCTCGGCGAACGGATTGTACTCCACCTCCGTGGCATCAGAGTCCTCGCCGTCTTCATCCCCCCACGGCCCTCTCTGCCTGCCACCACCACGCGGATGACCGCGACCCCCGCGGCCCCCACGAAACCCCCCGCGACCGCCGGTTCTTCCATCGAGCCCGTCGCGGTTTACGCTGTCGCGATTCGCCACTTGCTGGAGAACCATCCTGATGTCCGTCATGCCCTCAGTGAGGTCCGCAATCTCCCGGCCAAAACCCTCGTTCTGGCGCATAAGGGAAGCAATCGCCGCATCCCTTCTGTCATCGGCCGGATCGGTTCTCTTCGGTGGCATCGTGGATCGTAGCTGATTCTGATTACCAACTGATGTAGCACAGCTTCGAACGAAAGGGACAAGAGAGAACAAATCTCAAAATTATCGTTTTTATTATTCTTCCAAAGTTGCGGCTAATGACAAGAGCAGATAAATAAATAGTTCCTAGCAATCCAAACACCTAACTTGCTAGGCAAGTAAATTCCTAAAAATATAATTAATATCCTACTAACTTAATAAAATAAATAAGGAACAATAATAAAATACTCATGCAATTAATTAATTAAACTAGAGATGGGATTCGATCGTATTTGTCCATAAACGCCATCGCGATCTCGTCTCCATCACGTAGCCCTTGCAAACATAATGCAGCGTGATTTGCATGGTGAGCCCGCCAGCACCGAGACCAAGTTAGCGTGGAACTCAACTTGCTCCCAAGCATTCGAATCCTACATCCACTACCTCCAACTCTCCCCTGCTTTAGTCAACACTTCCGATCCCTACTACTCGATTAATGTCTATTTCTGGTACGACCATTTCGGTGAATGCAAATTCCAACTCGAGACCACTGCTCCACCTTCCGAGATTTGCCAGTTTTCCCAATTCACCACCGTCCTCCTCACTCTTTGGAAACATATTCCACGCCTCCCATCCTAATTTTTTATAAAACACTATTATTCTTTGGTTTGGTTTGGTTTGGTTTGTTTTGTTTGTTTTTTTTTTTTTTTTTTTTTTTTTTTTTTTTTTTCATTGTCCGTATAATGTACCTTAAATATTTCAACCTTTTTATAACTTGAAATTTACCAATTATAATTGGTTTAGAATTATATTATTGTATTCTTCTATTCAAAGATGAAATAATCTCAACCATTCAAATATCTAAAGGACCACATGTATTGGTTGGTAATACAGTTGCTTTCTCTCCTATCAGCTCAGTTCAGTTGCTATTTTAAAAAAATGCAAACTCCTCTATCACTGTCAAAACAAATGACTTTCAGCTATTCAAATAAACCATATGAATTATGTAATGCATGTCCACACAGAATAAAAACTTGTTACCCTTGTACATCAAGAGACGATATGTCGTTCGTTCCTGGCAAGCAAGATGCTCAGTTCAGTTGCTATTTTAAAAAAATGCAAACTCCTCTATCACTGTCAAAACAAATGACTTTCAGCTATTCAAATAAACCATATGAATTATGTAATGCATGTCCACACAGAATAAAAACTTGTTACCCTTGTACATCAAGAGACGATATGTCGTTCGTTCCTGGCAAGCAAGAGGCGGTTCTCGGGAGAAATGCTAATAGGAACATAGTTGACGAGCTCGGATTGGAGTCCTCGTGACTTGACCCACATCAGCCTCCCAGCATCGATAATGTCCTTGCACATATACCCCAACACAGCACGTTCAACTGCCTCCATATTTCTCACTACATCTCCCACTCCCACTAATTCTGAGTCGGGGCGCAACATTTTCTTCTCATTCCTAGAATAATAAATAAAAATTTAATGAATCTCAAGTACAATACAGAAAAAGGATTTAAAAAAAAAAAAGACAAATCGACAGCAATTACATTTAGAAGCAAATAAAATTAATGGCAAGCCTTACGTGATCTCGAGTTGAGCAGATAAATCTGCAGCACGAAAATCTGAGCTATGATCTGCATCCACAGCCCAGCTCGTGAACCATGAAATCGCATGGAAATCCTGTTTGCTGAAACCCAGATCCAATATATATTTCTTATCTGCATGGTTAATTAACTGAGATCATTAGTTATTATATTAGAACAGATGAAACAAAACATATTGACAGATAAAAAGAAATGTATTTATTAAACAAGAAATGGGAGGTTTCAATTGAGTACTTATGTAGTGTCTCCATTGGCAGAGATGATGGCAACATGTTGCAATGGCTAGGCCTCTCATGTAACAAGTTGCTGGTGACTGAGAATCGGAGATTTTGTCTGACTTTTGGCGAATGCAGCATCTTAAGGTCACATCTGGAATTAAACATATGTTTTAGTCGCATATCGTGTAATAATCAAATGCCGTTTTCTAGGACCTCCATTACCTGTTGCAGGCCCGCAAAGGTGTTTGCCAATTGCCGTGTAGCCTACTCCTCTTAGTGATTCTACAGCATTCAAATTCAAATCCTCAACTGCAAGTGGAGGGTTTCAACAAAATCAATTCTGAGATTAAAGCACTTTTGTGCGCTAGTCGAGACAAACCCAATCTTGGAAAATAACGTAGAAACAACACACACTGAAAGTTTCTCTTATAATTTAAAACGAAAATGTAATGTAATATCGGTTACATGCTAAAACTACTAAGAAAAATCAGAAACTGAATCGATATTATCTTTGAATAGCAAGCACGTAACACAAGTTTTCTATATGATAAACTTGATAATTATGTAGCAGACTGGCACGGCAATCACTGCATTAAGAAGAGGAGAAATGTTTATGCATACACACACAAAAGTATAAACATAAGTTTAGTTTTCTGTAGATGAGTTCTATTACCACTTCAATGTAATCATGGGATTCTAATTCACTAGTGGCATAACATCAATTGCCGGTCAAGAAGTATAACACTGAACTAGAATGAAGCACTTCTTTTTGGACAAACCCTTTAAGTATATATTTTGGACATTACGTTTTTTATCAGTTTTCAGAGACATAATATGAAATGCAGAAGAACCTGAGTAAAATGCGTAAACAATATATGATTCAACTGCTGGAAAAACAAGGTTTTGGAAAACTTACTATCAATTCTCAATCTCTCCAATATCAAGCTCTCTTTCTGTCTCAAACTCCGATCAGCCTAAGGGTATCAGCAAGCACAATGGACAAATAAGAAACTTCAATCCACGATGAAAATACTACAGAAGATCAAAGACATCGTCACATCTGAAATCATGATAACCACCATAAACACTACAAATCAAACAAAAAGCAAGATCACACGAAACTGACTTTCAATTTATATGCCTTCCGCTCCACCAATAAAACCTTTTTGATTCCATAACAATCCGCAAGCATCTGTGTCAAATACCCCCTTCCAGCACCAAATTCAATCACTGCAGAATGATCGGCATTACTCTCCAGTTCATTGTTTGAATCACAACACTCGCCTGTCCCACTAGGACTCGAAGAAGATTTCTTTAAAACCCTAAACTCTTCTAAATTCCCTAGAATTGATGCCTGTTGTAAAACGTGCTTCTCTTGATACGGCAGTTTCCTGAAAAAGGATAAAATACTCAATTAACATAGAGTTCAAGTAATATAAGCTTAAGTGCCTGAAAATGAATAAAGATGTGAAATTTTGGTAGACACATCATACTTGTCAACTTCTCTATTAGTCCAAATTCTACAAGCTTCCGGAATCTTGTAAGACTCTTGAATGTCATCGCATATGGATGCATGAACCGACTTGATCTTAGCAATTAACTCAAAAAACCCCGACACGGGCATGTTATACACCGCATTTCTTTTCATCTCCGAAGTAAATGTGGTAACCATTTCTGCTTCTTCTCCTTCATTTTCCTCCTCATCTCCTGGTCCAGCATTAATGCCCCTTTGGTAGAAAGGTTGACACGAGAGAGACAGCTCTCTTTTCATCAATGGGCATCGATTCAAGTGACTCTCAAGATTTTCCTCAAGCACAGAGCTGCCAAAACAAGCATTATATAATTCCCAACAAGCACACACACGCGCGCACACACACACAAAGAAATCGAAGCTAATAAGTTGCTGTGAAGGGTGAAAATAGTGCGATGGTTTACTGAGAGGAGTCGATTGGGCACGGGACCCAGCGAGCGTCGAGCCTTTGGGTGTGGTTTCCGCAGAATCTGAATCATTGGAATTAAAGGTATAATTGGTAAACGATGGTGGAAGGGAGGAAGAAGAAGAATAAGAAGGTGTAAGAGAAAGCGATTACGAGGAATTGTGCAGAGTGGTGTTCGCACAGAATCTCTTCTTCTTGGGAAGCCAAAATTTGCAGTGGCTTGCCATCTTCTTCCCCTGCACTGTCCTTAAACCCTACTCCTCCATTGATTTACTCAGTTTGCAGGAAATGGAGTTGTTCGTAAACCCGACTCATCACTCTCAAGATTTTTTTTTTTTTTT